CTCGCTGCCGCGCTGGCCAATCGGTGGAGAGATGGGGGACGGACGGCCAATCCGCTAATGGTCGCTGGTTGATAGGCAGCTCCGCGGTGCAATGGAAAGCGGAGCGCCGGGGTGACGGACGGACTCGGGGAGCCAATGGAAGAGCGGATTTTGATTGACAGCATACGAAGCCAATGGGCTCGAGGCCAGGCTGTGCGTGTCCGCTGGTTGAGTGACAGCGGGCGGGGGGGGTCGCAACTTCCTCTCGGGTGGGACCTGACCAAAATACGCCTCGCGATTGGTCACAGGCAGTTTGATTGACGGGCAGATTAGGCAATGGGAAGCGCGGCTATGCCGAGTCACGCTTGTGATTGGTGAAAGGTGGGGGGCGAGCCGTTTGGGGCTGATGACGTCACGGAGTCCCCCCGAGAGTGGGGGGGAGTCCCGGGGAACCCCCGAGGGGGGGCCTGGACCCCCCTTTCCCCCCTTTCCTCCCATCACCGATCCCTGGGGGCACCCCCAGGCCCCCATCACCGACCCCTTGGGACCCCCCCCCTCATCACTGACCCCTCGGAGGATTTGAGGGGGGTCCGGAGGGTCCCCAGCTTGGTGGCGCCCAGCGGTGGCTCCTGAAGGACCCCCAGACCCCCCCGGTGGGGGTCCAATCACAAAGATTGGGGTGTTCAGGGGGGTTGGGGTTCTTGGAGGGTTTTGGGGTGTTCAGTCCCCTTCAGGGCTCAAAGTGCCGGAGGATTTGGGGGTCCCCAGTCCCCCAGTAAAGATTGGGGTGCTCAGGGGGTTCAGGGTCCCCCCTCCCCTCACAAAGATTGGGGGGGGTCAGGGGTGTTCAATCCCCTTCAGGGCTCAGGATGCTCAGAGGGGTTGGGGGTCCCCATCCCCCTTAGCGAGGTTGGGGTGCTCAGGGGGGGTTCAGGGTGCTCAGGGGGCATTCAGGGTCCCCTCACAAAGATTGGGGTGTTCAGGGGGTTCGGGGTTCTTGGAGGATATTGGGGTGTTCAATACCCTTGTAGGGCTCAGGGTCCCAGAGGGGTTGGGGGTCCCC